CTATATTGTTTCGGACATAATTGTGTTCCTTCCTTCCTTCTCCCCTAACCCCCTCCCACCACCACCACCAGTTTCTTCACTTTTGTTCTGCTCCCAAGGGCTGTTCTTTATCCAGAAAAACTGTTTCTTTCCCTGCATCTGTTTTCCCTATTAAGGCTGGGGAAGCTAAACACATAGCTTTGGGCAGAATCAGAACCATCTGCAACAAGCCCTAAACTGAGTCAGGAATCCTGGGCTTTTCCCCATGTGACTGCGGACGGGTCACTCTCTCTGGGCATTAGTTTTTTCATGTTAAATTAAGAATGGGGCCAGAGGAATTCACAAAGATACTTTCCAAAGTTCTATTGTTGATTCTAGATGTTAGTAAAGGGTTTGTTCAGCTTGCTTTAGCAGGCTTAGTTCCAAATTCCTTTTTCACTATAGTATTAAACATAATAGTGGCATCTCAGCATCTGCGGGGGGGAAAGCAATGCCTAGTCTACAGATAACCTAAAAGTGTGGAGACATAGGTAACCCATCTGCTGTGGGTAAAAGCCACAGTCTGAAAACTTCAATTTCTGCCTCTTCCATGTTAAATTTACTAAATGCCAAAATTAGAATTTCCATTAGGAAATATTTACTCCATAATCACGACAGACTCTGAAAATGTTCCATTTATTGACAAAACCATTACTGGGTCCTGTTAATGGTCTCCTCATCCATTTTACCACTGTTCTCAACTCTCAATATGCACCTGGGATACTTCTAAAATGTTCCACAGCCTAAACTCCACTCAGACCCACTGGCTCTGAAGAACTGGAGCTACAGCATCTGCACCTTTTAAAGCTCCCCAAGTGATTGGGGTGCAATGTTCTATACTATACACTATTCTTAAAGTTAGTTTGGAAAATAAGCAGCAGTTGAGAAAGCCTCCAAAGTGAAGATGATTTAGATTCAAGGTCCATGTCTGTACTCTGAAGTATTGTACCTGGCTGATTTAGCTTAAATTTGAAATAAAATTGTAATTTACCCTTTAAGTGATGTTTAGCAAGAACTGAGTTTGTTGGGACTAAGAGAATATGTGTATCTACAGTGCTGTGGGTGGAACTGGGGCAGGAGACTGTCTGGTTTGTTTTGTTTATTGTAAGACAATGTAGTATAATGAAAAGAACACAGGCCTTGGGTTTTAAATCCAAAATCTATTCTTTTACTAATTGTGGTAAGGCTCAAATTAGATACAGACATGAAAATATTTCATAAACCATAAAACCATGTATCTCAGCATTTTTTAATCTTTGCCCCTCCCTACTTTGAGAAATAGACAAATCTCGTGCCTTTCTAAAGTGTAAGTTCAAATTAAATATTGTGATTAGAAGCAAAAAAACAAAAGCTTTGTTTTCTCCCTCCTTTCTCACGTTGAGAATGACCTCTCAGTGCATTTTACTTGTGGCGGTTAAAACTTGAATGTGAAACTAGAAGTTTAGTGAAGCCAGGGACTGTCTATTTATCTTTGTGTCCTGTTGTACCACCAAGCACACAGTGATTTACAGCGTAAGAACTCAGTAAAGATTTGCCAAAATCATATTAAGCAAATTTATAGGAATTCAGACAATAGAACCAAAACCTCTTTCTTATGCCTTTGAGAAATAAAGTACTCGTAAGAGAGTTTGGGACTTACTACAGTGAAATTCTTATGCTAGTTTATTTAAGATTTGAGAAAGCAGAAGAGAATCAGGAAAAGTAATAGAATAAAACAAGTCTGTACTGGAAGAAAGACTGGTGTTTATAGTAAATGTTTTAATAATTAGGCTAATGGCAAAAATAATACACAGTAACATTTAAGTTGGAACTACAACGTAAGTTTTGTAGCATGTATCCTTTTGCTTAAGAAAAATATTAATCTTTTTAATATTCATTTGTATCCTTAAGATGTACCAATTTATGGTAACCCATAAAAAACAGAAGTAAACCACGATGGGATTTAAATGTTTTCTCTAGCTTGTCCATATGAAGTTAAAAAAAAAAAAAAAGTCATTTTAAAAAGTGCACACTTAGAAATTAATTACCCCACCAGTGCCCAGTGCAGTAGGCAAAATCTGTATCTGCTTATCCAGGTAGATTGACATAATGGCACCAGTCATAATTTGGTGCTATAAATGAATGTCCAAAATTGGGTCCTCAATTTTAAAAAAACTGGGAACTATGAATTCCTAATTTTAGAACTAATTGGGCCTTAAAAACATTAAGTATTGTCTTTGCTGTGAACTTTAAGAGATGCTAAAATGTCTGACCTTTTCAGTAAATTCACAAAGGAGCAACTGATGCGGAGAATAGAACTTTATTAAATCAGAAATGAACCTTAAGTAGTATATAGGCATGTAGAATCCAGTTTGTTGGGGAGGTCTGATTGTGTTATTGATTAATCTATAACTTTCAGTAGTGGGTGGAAGTCCTGTTTCTGGTCAAAGCCTGGATTTTACTAACTAGGGGTGTCTATAAAGATACAGAACTGGGAATCATTCATAGGGTCTGACAGAAGAAAGTAAGTGGGACACAAAGTATTCCATGAGAATGTGGCCTCTGGAAGGCCCTCACACCAAGCAATGTTTAAATTTAGTTTCAACATTTGCAACACAAATAGAGAGAAATTTACAGTTGACGTGAAGATGAGTTGTCTTCATCCATCTTCCTGTAAAGTCGCTTACTCTGGAAAGCATGCCAAAGTTGGGACGTTCCCATAATTGCCTTACATAGACAACGTACATCCTTTGTACATCGAAAGGAAAAAGCAGTGACTCAAAATAGAGGACCCTAGGGAATATGTTTACTGAAATTGCTCTTCACTAATTACACATGCTTGTTTGTTCCTTCTTTATTTTAGAATTAAAATAGGAAGAACTCATCCCAGAAGTCTGGGTCAACTCTAAACTTTGATTTTCTCATAGGATCTATTAAATACGCCTGTAATCTTTTAATTGTTTGCAAAGCAGTGATAAATCACCTGTGAAGGTGAATTGATCTTTCAAAAGTGACCTTTTCCATGGTAATAAGAACTATTTCATATTGCCCCATCTGAAAACATTAAAACCTGGTTATTTCTCAGGTGAACCCAGCTAAGACTCAGTCTCCCTCTAAGCCAAAACCTCCTTTCTCAAGCAAGGCTCACTTCAACACTCTACCTTTAGAAGGAATGCAGCCTTACTCCTAGGTCCGTTTAACTCCATATAAAACCATCCCTGTGCTTTAAATAGTACATTATGTTAAAGATTGTCACTGTGGTTGTAAAATTTAAGATACCAGGGTGAGGAAGCTAAGAGTATTACCTTGGCATAAGCCTCTGTAAGGCAGCCATGGTGGTAGGAGCTGTTTCATAGATTAGGCTCCCCTGCGTGTGATTGTGGGAAGACACCGTGTGCATTCCTACAAGTTATTTGTGGCTCTCTGAGGCATTCATTTAACACTGTTCTATAGCGCACAATTTTAGGAAGTAGAGTTGGAATTTTCTAGTCCTTGTTAGAATGTTTTCTTCAATCCAGAAGTGTTGTACAACACAAAAAGCCCCATGGTAAAGAACAAGCTCACAGAAAGAATACTGAGGAATGACACTTGGAATGTGCCACTGTTTTGTCATCCCTGCTACACTGATCTGGAGTGAACTGCGTAGCAGCATAAGTAACCGAAGAAATTTCAGCCAGGGCGCCAAAGCCTGACAAGCATAGTAAATCTTCTTAAGCAGGATATTTGGAGAGAAGGTTTTCAAGTTAATTGAATTTTATGATTAACAGAAGGTTATCTAGAAAACTGTATTTGTTTCACTTCATGTTGATGGAAGTCTTTCTAAAAGGGTTAAGTCTACTTTCCGTTTATAGTATAATTATTAATGTGGTTTAATTATTTTTTTAAGATGAAGATTTCACTGCCTCCACAGCATTATCTTGATCGTAAAAGGTTATTCTATATTTCTTAAAATATGGCTGTGGCTGTTCAAGGTTAATTCACTGGGCTGGAAGTATACAGACTCCAGAACTGCTTCAGAGTTATAAGGCTAAGGGGGAAAAATCCCTAACATGAAATTTTATGATTTTCTTTGTTTTTCTGAAAACAGATTGCAGGAAAATTCCATCCAGTTGAAGGTTATGAGTTCTCTGGATGTGACTGTTACTAGTTTAAATGATGAAAAATGTGCCAGTGAAAGGGAAATTTTATTCCTAAGTCCTGAATTGTAGTTCTTCTCCACTCTGGGTCTTACGGTGAGATTCAGGATGTTACAGAGACCCTGTGTGGTCCAGGTCTCCCAACACTGAAATGTAAAATATATCTCTTGGAATGAAAAGCATGCAATTTTTCTTTCCTTACTGGAATGTATTATATTTTTGCACTTAGAATCCGTTTTCCCACTTTCTTTTATGGGAGTATTTTATCCCAGCATGCATATACATGTGTACATCTGTATGTACAGGTATGTATATAAAATTATAGAAGATTTGCCTTTTTGGTACTGTCTACAATATGCAGAGTAATACAGAACTCCTTTGAGATAATCATATTTTACTGGGGAGGAGAGGACTCTATTAGTGTCCATTCCGATAGCTTTTCACTCAGACTATAAATTAGGCCTGGGAAGGGCCAGTAATGAGTCAGTAATTTATAGACTATTAAGATACTTAGTTAGAAGTGATCCTGAGCATGTCGAATAGAGAACACATGTTTATAAAAGACAAACAGATTCGATACATCTCTGTGGCCTAACCAAGCCCAATCAGTTAACAAAATGGGATGTCTTATTTTGTGTATCCTACTTCCCAAAAATAGAATCACTAACCACTTGCTAACCACACCGACTTTTTAACGGACAGAATGGTTGCTATAGTTTTGCCACCAGAAATATTCAGATTAAGCATTCTATTAGATTGTAGCCAGCAGAGTCTACAAAACAGGAAGAAGGCTCTGCTTGCTTTTTGCCTCCTTTCCTTGTTTGACTTGATGTGATAATTCATTGCAGATTTCTTTTTCTTTGACAGAATGCCTACCGCAGGAGTGGGATGGCTTTTCTAGCCTGCTGATGTGACAACTGTGATGTGCCCGCAACAACAGGAAAGGCAGTGTTATATTAAGGTGATTTCTTGTGAACAAAATAAAATGCAAATTTACCTTTCTTTTATCTGAGGGAGTGGGCTGGTTTGTTGTGACTACCAACTTGCTGACTCCTGCTCTTTTCCAGCCCCTCAACCATCAGTCTTGTTTACTAGATGGGCTGTTCAGCTAATTAATGGCAGGATGTTTAGGATAGTGTGTAGGTGGACAAGAATGCAGATCACACAATTTTGAAATTTTAATTTGAGTAGATTTACTGCCCTCAGTTCACATATCTTAAAAGCAGTGGTTGCCCCGGTCCAGTCTTTTGTCAGTGTTTTATTTGATACATTTTATAATCCAGGTTTGGAATAAGGAAACAAAATTAAAAGGACAGTGAGTTTTCACCTTCCCTTATACCATCAACTTTACTTTCCAACATTTGTTGACTACATGTATTTTATTGACAGCTATCCACTTTATAAACTTACAGTAATCAAAGATTTAACAGACCTGATAAATCACCTGTTCCCACCTCCTTTCCCCTTCACTCCACTTACAGTATGTGTCATTTTCAATGCCTTCTTCCCAACTTCCTGCCATCTGCCTTTCATGTGTGTTTTTCCTCACACAGAACCTCTTCCTCCATCTTCATTCCCCTCCTTTTCCTGTTCCTCCAATCCCCAGACCCACCACTCCTGCACATGCCATACACATTTAGAAGCCAAGTATTCAGAATTAGTAGAAGGGGAGCAGAGTGATTTCTTGCTTCCTCCCTTCAAAGCACTACCACACCTAGACTGGAAATGTGGGCTGGGTAATTTCTTGCTGTTAGCAGCCGAGCTACCCTTCTGGCAGCTATACTTTCTCCAGTAAATGAGGAACCGTAACTCCTCGGAACAAACCAAAATATAGCAGATGTAAGTGTATAGTTCCTGATTAAACTTCAGTTGCAAAACAAGAAAGTTATTTCTTTAATTCTGTGGGAGTTTTGTATAATTTTACTTTTATCATGGATTTTACACACACTTGAAACACTCTCTCTAAAGAATAAAAACAGAAATGAGAAATATGAAAGATCTTTTTCTTGTGGCCAAAGCATTATGAGTCTCTGTTAATATGATTATGCCACATTATTTACATTTGTTAACTGTCATTTACCTGCTCTATGTTAATCTTTTTAGAAAAAATTTGAGTTTCAGAAACAAAATCACAGATATATAATATTAAAATATTCCCAAAGGGTTTTGATGTTCCATCTATGCTTGTTAAAATGTATGATTAAACTTTTATTTTTATCATCATTCTTATTTTCCTTGTCATCCATAATCATGGGAAATTATAAGCTTGCAGTAAACATGCTAACTTTTAAACGATAGCATTTATTGTATTTGGTTTTGATCTGCCATGCTTATAGATGGTATAAAATTTTCGGGGGCTAATTTATCACATCAAAATTCCTTCTCTCCCACGTTATACATTTTAAAGTACGCACAAAGCAGAAAATACAGGGTTTGGGTTTTTTTCCTTCATTTTATTCTACCTGATCTCCTTATAGTCCCAGAGAAGGAAGACTCAACGTACATTTCTCTCAGAAATATGACAGGTCTGTGTTTTTGTTGGTCTGGCGTATGTTTGTCTATCTTGAACAGTCTGACAGGTAATTATTTATAAAATCTGGTTTTGCCAAGTTCATATAATAACCTTTCATTTTTCATCATAAGCCAGTAAGCTGAATTTAGAATAAAGCAAGGTCATTTATGTCTGTCCTAAACCAGCCTACATGTCCCCATAATTGCTCAATATTTTTCATTCCTTTTTCTATTTTTTATACTTAGGTTCTTTCTCTGACTCTTTGCACAATACTAAATTTGAAGTGAAATAAAATTTCCTTCAGCAGTGACTATAGAAATAAAAGAAAATTTACAGAAGAAACGTTTAAGAAAACTTGACTTCAATAAATTATTTTCTCAATAATTGTAATGTTAGAGCAGAAGACAGTCTTAGAGATCATTGAGAACAGCTGCTTATCTTACAGATGGAAAAACCAAGGCCTAGAGAGGAAAAGTGACTTTCCTAAGATCACTCAATAATGGTAGTGACAGAACAGAGAAAAGAATCGATGGTCGCTAATTTTCAGTCTGGTATTATAAAGTATTTTCTGCCATACTGGGTTAGTAAGAATATTACTAAGACATGTTGGGGTTTTATGGTATATTTATCCTTGACAACAATGTAAATTTATTTAAAAACTATACTAATTATGGATACATCCTAAAGCATACGTTTATATAGTAAAATCTTCAGTGTGACTGTGGTATTAAGTAAACAGTCTGTTACCTTACACATCAAGCTTAACTCTAAGTCAATAGGGAATATACAAAGCTAATTTCTATTTTTTGTCCCTTGTATTTTAGAGACTGAATTTGAAAATAAATAAGCCAATAAATAAATAGCCTCTCTTGATACTGCTTCTTAGATTTAAGGGTAAAGAAAGTAGAAATATTTCTCCCTTCACCTAAATTTGGAAGTATGACTTTCTGAATGTGCCATTTAGAGATTATGTCATTAGCTTTCCTGCCTTCTTATATTGTAATAGTTGTGATTCAAAAATACTGTTTCAATTTTAAAACCAAGACTTTTTATTTGCACACCATCAGAAGCACAAATATTTTTAAATGGCGTATATAATTCCTGTATCTGGGGAGAACCCTTCATTTATTGCTGTTCTTTATTTTTTAAAAATAATAAGCCATGTCTAATGCTTTTACCATGTAGAAGACAAATAAACATAACTGGTGATTCTTGGTCTGAAAGAAAGCACGTTTACTTGTTTAGAATTATAAAGTTTAATTTTATGAATTTTTTTACATAGTTCTTAAATCAAGCAATGCTTTCCAGTTCATATAACCTCTTGTGTAAAACGGAATCACTACAGAGAACATATTCTCTCATCTGCCCCCTGGAATTTGGATAGAACCTTTCCAGGCTACATTTAAAATTCTACCATCAACCATGTATACATCTCATAAAATATTTTACAGTTTCCTGTATGCTCTGGCCGAACATTTCATAGTACATAAACACTTCTGCAAATAATCTAAGGGCATCAAGTTGAATATGTCATAGCAATGGCCACTACATAAAGCTAATTCTCCAGCAACATAGTTTCTTATTATTTTACCTTCTTATTTGAAATTCAAGATGAAACTTTACATGCTATTGTTGTACAGTGGCAGGGGTGAGAAGACAGCAGGGAACTATAGCAGTTTTTGTGGAATTGTGTGCATTAAAGCAAAGGCTTTCTGCAGAGGGCATCTAGCCAAGCTTAAACAACAAAACTATGCCTGCAGGAATTGGATGTAAATGTGATGGTTAAATAAGGGCCAGATGTCGTTAAAAACTCAAATATTAGAAAGTCGTATCTCTTAAAGTAAGTCTCAAGTGTTGTAAGTCGGATACTGATACCATGGTACCTAAAGAAAGAGACTTGAGTTTGTTTTCCGGAACAAGATAGTAGGTATTCAAGCTGTCATAAGTCATGGAAGTTTCGGCAACTGAAGCATATTTTAAAGCAATCAATTCCTGCAAAGTCACAAGAACGCCGCATACATATTTCATTGTTGGGAGCCACTGTAATTACCTGTACAGCATTGTGTTCATAATCCCTTTTCTGCTCATCACCACCCAATATTGACTATGCTCATTTTTTTCAAAGGAGGGTAAAGATAGAAAAAAAAAAAGACGGCAAGGCTCAAGATGATCAAAATATAGTTTTACTTATACCAGGTAACACTCTACTTGCTATCAAATATGATGATATATTGTGTCAGTATGTTAATAAGTTATGACATAATAATTACAGCACACCATGTGCTACTTTGTGTACTAAGCAGTTTGTGTGATTTATCTCATTTACTACTCACAGCCCCACTACCAGATATGCCCTGTTGCCCACAGGCAGGAGAGAGGAAACTGAGGAACAGCAGCTTAAATGTCTTATGCAGAATTACCCCAGGTGTAGCTGGCATTTGTACCCAGCACTTTGATCCCAAAGCTCACATGCTGTTAACCACTGTTACACAACGTGGACTGTACTGGAGTAGAGATTTCTGAGAACATATGAAAGAGAATTGCTGCCTGACCTTGAACCTAGAAGCACTTCTCAGAACCAGAAAATTTGATTGCAAGAAAATTGTATTTTAACTTAACATTCCTTCTCTAATGCCAAGTATTACGTATATAATAGAATATCATATCATGTATAATAGAATATAATTATATAGGATCATGCCAAGTTTTTAATAATGTCTTAAGCCTTAAGAGAAATGTATATAATCAATGAATATACTAAAATTCCCTATACAAATTATGGGAAAAACTTCCTCAGAGATCCATGCATACAAAGCTTCTCTCCTTTCTGAAAACCAGATTTCCCCAGAAGGCTCTATTTACACAGGCTACTGTTTCATGCTTTCATACAAGGCATTTATCCATGTTGTAAAATAATTCCCATCTTGTTTACATGTGTTTGCAGTGGCAGATACAGAAGTACATATGGCAATGCCCTGAAACTTTAAATAAATGACCCTTTTAAAGACCTGCTCATTAATTCATTAATTATATAGTAGTCATAGTTTTTCCCAGCCTGACATGTTTGTGTGTGAGGCAGGTCCGGGGGAGGTGATGTATGGAGATAAATAGGAAAGTGGAAAAAAGCTACCGTGCACGATTTGAATTACAAAGGATAGTTTTCCATTCGACTCAGTAGTTAGCAGCAGTTTTTTTATAGAGAGAGAGTCAGGTCTCTCTTTGTTGCCCAGGCTGATCTCAAACTCTTAGTCTCAAGTGATCCTCCCACCTTGGCCTCCCAAAATGCTGGGATTACAGGCATGAGCCACCACACCCAGCCAGAGCTTCTTTAATTCAACCCTATGTTTGTTCTGCCTCAGGACAAGCCACCTTCTGAATTATGTCCTTTAAGATTCCAAATAACTGCACCAGCCTGTGCTACAACTTTTCTGAATTTTTTTTTTTAAGATGGGGTCTCTCTGTATCACTCAGGCTGGTCTCCAGCTCCTAGGTGCAAGCAGTCCTCCCACCTCAGCCTCCTGATTAGCTGGGACTACAGGGACAAGCCACCGCACCCAGCTCTTTCTGAATGGTTTTAATTGCATCTTCCAGCTGCTTCACTTGGGAAAAGTTAGTTCACCTGCCAATGCATTGGCCACTTCTTGTCAACCTTCCCTGACCTAAACATATCAGTCAGTCAAGCAAGCAGACGCTAAGCAGCAGCAACTACTACAGCTGATGGATTGGCTTGCCACACTTCCATAGGTTTGGCCTGTAAGGAGACAGTGAGCCCAAATGACTTTAGACAGTTTGTTACACAGCTACATAAGCAAGATTGGCACAGTGTCAACTTCCCATGTTCCTAATCCCACAGGAAGATACCAAGCCAGAGGGGCCAGTTGACAGAAGACATGAGTGAGTGGAGGGTTACCATGTCATGGAGGAGCCAACTCTAAACCACAGCCAAGCAGTTTTTTGTTTTTTTTGTTTTTTGTTTGTTTGTTTTTGAGACAGAGTTTCACTCTTATTGCCCAGGCTGGAGTGCAATGGTGCGGTCTTGACTCACTGCAACCTCTACCTCCCGGGTTCAAGCGATCCTCCTGCCTCAGCCTCCCGAGTAGCTGGGGTTATAGGCACATGCCACCACACTCAGCTAATTTTTTGTGTTTTTAGTAGAGATGGGGTTTTACTATGTTGGTCAAGTTGGTCTTGAACTGACCTCAGGCAATCCACCCGCCTCGGCCTCCCAAAGTGTTGGGATTACAGGCGTGAGCCACCGTGCCTGGCCAGCCAAGCAGTTTTATAGCTTGCATTCACATCCCAAAGGGGGTTGAGGTGGAAAGACCTTTGCCTTACCAGAACTACGGAGGCAGATGCGAAACTACCTGTGGCAGCTCCTCACAAGAGTGGCTGTCTGGCTGTGTTCCTGTGACGATCACAGGCAAAGGTCCCTATGGCCTAGGTATGGCTGTGTGGCCTATGTGAAGATGAGGTCTCC